TTCTTCAGTTTTACAGCTAGATTCCTGACATTCTAAACATTTTTGCCATGTTCATATCCTGTCTGGGGAGGGGGGTGACCATAGAGATCCTATTAAATTACTAGAGGGGCTATGTCATGAACTCTCAAAGTTCCAGAATGGGGTGCAAATGGTCAGGGAGAAATCCAAACCAGTCATTGGAATGAATGGCAGTAGAGGAGGAGATGGGACATTAAAAACTGTAATATCTTATGTTTCACCGAGTCGTGGCTGAACGACGACATGGATACCATACAGCTGGCGGGATATACGCTACATCGGCAGGATAGAACGGCTGACTCCGGTAAGACAAGGGGTGGCGGTCTGTGTATATTTGTAAACAACAGCTGGTGCACGAAATCTAATACTAAGGAAGTCTCAAGGTTTTGCTCGCCTGAGGTAGAGTATCTCATGATAAGCTGTAGACCACACTATTTACCAAGAGAGTTTTCTTCTATATTTTTCGTAGCTGTCTATTTACCACCACAAACCGATGCTGGCACTAAGATTATACTCAGTGAGCTGTATACGGCCATAAGTAAACAGGAAAATGCTCATCCAGAGGCAGCACTCCTAGTGGCCGGGGACTTTAATGCAGGGAAACTTAAATCCGTTCTACCTCATTTCTACCAGCATGTTAAATGTGCAACCAGAGGGAAAAAAACTCTAGACCACCTTTACTCCACACACAGAGACTCGTACAAAGCTCTCCCTTGCCCTCCATTTGGCAAATCTGACCATAATTCTATCCTCCTGATTCCTGCTTATAAGCAAAAACTAAAGCAGGAAGAACCAGTGACTCGGTTAATATGGAAGTGGTCAGATGACGCAGATGCTAAGCTACAGGACTGTTTTGCTAGCACAGACTAGAATATGTTCCGGGATTCTTCCGATAGCATTGAGGACTACACCACATCAGTCACTGGCTTCATCAATAAGTGCATCGATGACTTCGTCCCCACAGTGACCGTACGTACATAACCCAACCAGAAGCCATGGATTACAGGCAACATCCACACTGAGCTAAATGGGTAGAGCTGCTGCTTTCAAGGGACTCTAACCCGGAAGCTTATAAGAAATCCTGCTATGCCCTCCGACGAACCATCAAACAGGCAAAGAGTCAATACAGGACTAAGATTGAATCGTACTACACCGGCTCTGACGCTCGTCAGATGTGGCAGGCCTTGCAAACTATTTCAGACTACAAAGGGAAGCACAGCCGCGAGCTGCCCAGTGACACAAGCCTACAAAATGAGCTAAATCACTTCTATGCTCGCGTCGAGGCAAGCAACACTGAAGCATGCATGAGAGCATCAGCTGTTCCGGATGACTATGTGATCACGCTCTCCGTAGCCGATGTGAGTAAGACTTTTAAGCAGGTCAACATTCACAAGGCCGGAGGGCCAGACGGATTACCAGGACGTGTACTCCGAGCATGCGCTGACCAACTGGCAAGAGTCTTCACTGACATTTTCAACATATCCCTGACTGAGTCTGTAATACCAACATGTTTCAAGCAGATCACCATAGTCTCTGTGCCCAAGAACACTAAGATAACCTGCCTAAATGACTACCGACCCGTAGCACTCATGTCTGTAGCCATGAAGTGCTTTGAAAGGCTGGTCATGGCTCACATCAACCCCATTATCCCAGAAACCCTAGACCCACTCCAACTTGCATACCGCCCCAACAGATCCATACAGTGGGGGAAAAAAGTATTTAGACAGCCACCAATTGTGCAAGTTCTCCCACTTAAAAAGATGAGCGAGGCCTGTAATTTTCATCATAGGTACACGTCAACTATGACAGACAAAATGAGGGAAAAAAATGCAGAAAATCACATTGTAGGATTTTTAATGAATTTATTTGCAAATTATGGTGAAAAATAAATATTTGGTCAATAACAAAAGTTTCTCAATACTTTGTTATATACCCTTTGTTGGCAATGACACAGGTCAAACGTTTTCTGTAAGTATTCACAAGGTTTTCACACACTGTTGCTTTTATTTTGGCCCATTCCTCCATGCAGATCTCATCTAGAGCAGTGATGTTTTGGGGCTGTCGCTGGGCAACACGGACTTTCAACTCCCTCCAAAGATTTTCTATGGGGTTGAGATCTGGAGACTGGCTAGGCCACTCCAGGACCTTGAAATGCTTCTTACGAAGCCACTCCTTCGTTGCCCGGGCGGTGTGTTTGGGATCATTGTCATGCTGAAAGACCCAGCCACGTTTCATCTTCAATGCCCTTGCTGATGGAAGGAGGTTTTCACTCAAAATCTCACGATACATGGTCCCCATTCATTCTTTCCTTTACACGGATCAGTCGTCCTGGTCCCTTTGCAGAAAAACAGCCCCAAAGCATGATGTTTCCACCCCCATGCTTCACAGTAGGTATGGTGTTCTTTGGATGCAACTCAGCATTCTTTGTCCTCCAAACACGACGAGTTGAGTTTTTACCAAAAAGTTCTATTTTGGTTTCATCTGACCATATGACATTCTCCCAATCCTCTTCTGGATCATCCAAATGCACTCTAGCAAACTTCAGACGGGCCTGGACATGTACTGGCTTAAGCAGGGGGACACGTCTGGCACTGCAGGATTTGAGTCCCTGGCGGCGTAGTGTGTTACTGATGGTAGGCTTTGTTACTTTGGTCCCAGCTCTCTGCAGGTCATTCACTAGGTCCCCCCGTGTGGTTCTGGGATTTTTGCTCAACGTTCTTGTGATCATTTTGACCCCACGGGGTGAGATCTTGCGTGGAGCCCCAGATCGAGGGAGATTATCAGTGGTCTTGTATGTCTTCCATTTCCTAATAATTGCTCCCACAGTTGATTTCTTCAAACCAAGCTGCTTACCTATTGCAGATTCAGTCTTCCCAGCCTGGTGCAGGTCTACAATTTTGTTTCTGGTGTCCTTTGACAGCTCTTTGGTCTTGGCCATAGTGGAGTTTGGAGTGTGACTGTTTGAGGTTGTGGACAGGTGTCTTTTATACTGATAACAAGTTCAAACAGGTGCCATTAATACAGGTAACGAGTGGAGAACAGAGGAGTCTCTTAAAGAAGAAGTTACAGGTCTGTGAGAGCCAGAAATCTTGCTTGTTTGTAGGTGACCAAATACTTATTTTCCACCATAATTTGCAAATAAATTCATAAAAAATCCTACAATGTGATTTTCTGGATTTTTTTTCTCAATTTGTCCTCTGTAGCTCAGCTGGTAGAGTACGGCGCTTGTAACGCCAGGGTAGTGGGTTCGATCCCCGGGACCACCCATACACAAAAATGTATGCACGCATGACTGTAAGTCGCTTTGGATAAAAGCGTCTGCTAAATGGCATATTATATTTATTATTATTACGTGTACCTATGATGAAAATTACAAGCCTCTCTCATCTTTTTAAGTGGGAGAACTTGCACAATTGGTGGCTGACTAAATACTTTTTTTCCCCACTGTATACTGCTTACACAGACAAGCTACATAGGCATGGTTCATAGGGTTGGTTCCTGCATGTGTCTGGCACCGTCTCCTATCTTAACTTACAAAAGGTCTGAGGAGGGAGTCATGACCGACCCCTCATGTCTCTACCCAGCACCTACAGGAACCAATGATTGTATGAGACAAGATGTACAATTCAAGGCTATCTCTTCAGACAACAAAATGTCCCTAACAGTGTGAATGGAATGGAATTAATAAGAGCGTCTGCTAAATTACTAAAATTTAAAATTTATAAAAGTCCCCTCTGTGATATGAAACCCAAATCAAAATATGTGCCACGCGACTACGTCAGGGTGCACACACCCATGACGTTGCAAAGAAACGTAACGGGGAATATTTTGTTAGCTAGCTAGCATAGGCTCTCTGGTGTAACGGACTCGAAACCTAGCTAACTTTGTAGACTGTTCAGCTGAGTTAGAAAGTTGTCTAGCTAGATTTATGGAGTTACTTTGTCATTAGCTAGTTTAATTTAATTGTAGAAATGTTGAAGTTAGCTAACTTACATGAATTGTTAGCTAACCTGCTAACTATGGCTAGCTAGCTAACTACCTAGCAAGCTTGCTGAATTGATGGATCTTCTCAGTTAGCTATCTATCTTTCTAGCTAAACTTGTTTCGTTGGCTCATCATAGCACGGATTCATCGCTGTGTTGCCTAACATGTTCCCTGATAACGTTGTTCCGGACACTGCAGACGCAGGCCTCTGACTGGAAACCATGAGCTCAATGATAGGCTGTGAAGGAGACACAGCCACACTAACTAGCTGCTAGCTAACAAGTTGGCTAGTTAACTTGCAGTTTGTACCGCTTGTATCCGACGCGACCTTAAAGCGCTGATTGTGAGGTATGAGTAATGGCCTTGTAAAATGAGTTAGCTATTTGTCGAATCTAGACAACCAGTCCCATCAGATAATTTATCAAAGAAAGTTCGACTAGGTAATAGCTATATGGCTAATTTTGAACTTCACTTTGTTTCTTGTCAACTTATGTTAGCTAGCTAACTAACGTTAGCTTGCAATCCGCCTTACCGGTTAGCCAGTGAATTTGACTGCTGTTTATTAGTTTGCTAGATGTTTGTGGTGGATTAGCTAAATAATCACCACCTATTATAACTTCATGAACAACGAATAATGTTCGCTGTCAAACTAACGTTCATAACATATCCCTCACAATGCTGTCAAGTTAACTAAATCATAAGTAGCTTGTTAGTACTAGCTAATGTTTGGCTAACTAGTTAGCACTGTAACGTCAACTCATTCTTGCACGTGCCGGTGAATGTTTTGAAGAGTCAAAACAAGGAAGGACTAGCCAAGTTATGTATGTGACCCTAATTGGCAGGATATAATATATCCACTGCCAATTGTGCAGGATAATTTGGTCAAAAAGATGGCAGCAAAGCGTACTAATGTTGGCCAATAAAAGAGGCAGGTTTTTTAGTAGTCAGTTAGCTAGTATGTTAGCTACCTCTTATTGAAATACAGTGCAGCCAGCAACATGAAAGTGCAAACTGAAACTTGTAACCCATCCAAGGTGCATCGAAACGACACAGGGGAGCAGCAAGACATGTCCAACAAAAAGGACAGCCACGATAGTAATTTATTTTTTCTCAACCGAGACTGTCAGAATGAACTGGGTTCAGGATCTCAGAATCAGAATGTTCACATTGTATCATCATTAGACTCCAAATGGCACAGCACTGAACGCAGCCGCCTAGTCACCGAAGGAGGACTCAGCAACGGAACCTCCCTGGAGAATGTTCATGTTCTTTCCCACGGTAGTTCTACTAGTAATCCTGCACTAAGACATGATGGGGTGCCTGAAATCTCAAACGAACTGTCATTGTCAGAGGTCTGCATACCTACTACAGTTACAGTAGAAGAAGACCGTAGCTATGAGTTACAGCAGGCCTATAGGATATTTAATGGCTTTCTTCTGGAAAAGCACAAAGGCATTATGACTCCCTTCTTGCACCCCATCGGCCTTGAAAAACACACTGACCGGGTTGGGGGTCTCCTCAAGAATTCCATGTGTTTCAGAAGGATGGAGGAGAAGTTTGTTAGCCGGGAGTATGAAACAATCACAGAGTTTGTGGCAGACTTCAGGCTAATGCTAGAGAACTGCTATAGGTACCATGGGGTCGACCACTGGATTTCTAAACAGGCACAGAAATTGGAAATAATGCTTGAGCAGAAGTTGACACTGCTATCAAGGTAAGCAAGTGCAAGCCTTACATACGTACATTGCATTCGGAAAGTATTCAGACCCTTTGACTTTTTCCACATTGTGTTACGTTACAGCCTTATTTATACACCCCATAATGGCAAAGCAAAAACATTTTTTATATATATATATATATACACAAAATTATAATAATATAAATATTACATTTACATAAATATTCAGACCCTTTACTCAGTACTTTGTCGAAGCACCTTTGGCAGCGATTACAGCCTTGAGTCTTTTTGGGTCCTGAGCGCTCTGGAGCAGGTTTTCATCAAGGATCTCTGTACTTTGCTCCGTTCATCTTTCCCTCGATCCTGACTAGTCTCCCAGTCCCTCCCGCTGAAAAAAAATCCCCACAGCATGATGCTGCCACCACCGTGCTTCACTGTAGGGATGGTGCCAGGTTTCCTCCAGACGTGACGCTTAGCGTTCAGGCCATAGAGTTCAGTCTTGGTTTCATCAGACCAGAGAATCTTGATTCTCATGGTCTGAGAGTCCTTTAGGTGCCTTTTGGCAAACTCCAAACGGGCTGTCGTGCCTTTTACTGAGGAGTGGCATTCATCTGGCCACTACCATAAAGGCCTGATTGGTGGAGTGCTGCAGAGATGGTTGTCTTTCTGGAAGGTTCTCCCATCTCCACAGAGGAAATCTGGTGCTCTGTCAGAGTGACCATCGCGTTCTTGGTCACCTCCCTGACCGAGGCCCTTCTCCCCCAATTGCTCAGTTTGGCCGTGCGGCCAGCTCTTGGAAGAGTCTTGGTTGTTCCAAGCTTCTTCCATTTAAGAATGATGGAGGCCACTGTGTTCTTGGGGACCTTCAATGCTGCAGACATTTTTTGGTACCCTTCCCCAGATCTGTGCCTCGACACAATCCTGTCTTGGCGCTCTACGGACAATTCCTTCGACCTAATGGCTTGGTTTTTGCTCTGACATGCACTGTCAACTGTGGGACCTTATATAGGCAGGTGTGTGCCTTTCCAAATCATGTCCAATCCATTGAATTTACCACAGGTGGACTCCAATCAAGTTGTAGAAACATCTCAAGGATGATCTATGGAAACAGAATGCACCGGAGCTTAATTTCGAGTCTCATAGCAAAGGGTCTGAATACTAATGTAAATAAGTTTTATTTCTGTTTTTTATAAATTAGGACATTTTTCTAAATACCTGTTTTCGCTTTTTCATTATGGGGTATTGTGTAGATTGATGAGGTGGAAAACGATTTAATCAATTTTAGAATAAGGCTGTAACATTACAATGTGGGAAAAAGTCAAGGGGTCTGAATACTTTCCGAATGCACGGTACATATATTCATTCAAGTATTCATGACATAGCCTACCTATTGTACATACATTCATTTACACTTAAAATGCACACATTCAACGATATGGATTCATTCGTCAATTGTCAGTAGTGACACACATCAGTAGTGTCTGTTTCATCCAGGACCCTTGATGAAATGACTGGGACCCTAACTAGCCCAATGATGCTGTGTCTGTATCCACCTACCCAACCAGGACGCTGCGAGAGAAGACCACTCTGGCGGTGACCTCCATGGGTCGTTTGGGGACCGAGGATGAGAGGGCGCCTGTGGGCACCTCTACCAGACGGAGGACAGTGCCTCGCAGCCTGGCCACGATCACAGTGGGGGGAAATGAGTCCATCATGGTGCAGGCACTCAGGCTGGAGGAGCAGCAGAGAGTCAAGGAAGAGAAGAGGTAAGATGATATTATTATTATTTTATATTTTTTTTTTTGTCATTTAGCAGACGCTCTTATCCAGAGCAACTTACAGGAGCAATTAGGGTTAAGTGCCTTGCTCAAGGGCACATCGACAGATTTTTCACCTAGTCGGCTCGGGGATTAGAACCAGCGACCTTTCGGTTACTGGCACAACGCTCTTACCCACTAAGCTACCTGCCGCCCTGGAATGCTCCAGTGCCTGAGGCTAAGGCCTGGCCAGGCAGATGTTGGGTTTTCTATGTTCTGACTCCCTCCGTGGTCAGAATAAAAACTTGAAAATTCCATAGACTACTTTATCCCCACAACTGTGACACTATAATTACATTAAACATTTTCGATAATAATATTTAATTCTGTGTGTGGCTGTGATTGTGTTTAGTATTACATCTGCTTCATAAACTCATCCTTAATTTCTGATTGTAGGCAGCGGGAGCTAGATAAGAAGGAGGCGGAGGAGACCTCAGCCAAGGAGGTGGAGGAGTGGGAGCGCAGTCTTCTCTCCCAGGCCATCCAGACCCCCTTGAAGACCATGTGGGAACTCCCTGCCATCGGCCACTTCCTCTGCCTGGCCCAGGCAGCTCTCAACCTCCCAGAGATAGTGTTCTTTGAGCTGGAGCGGTGTCTCCTCATGCCTCGCTGCAGCGTCTTCCTCTCCAAGATCATGAGTTCACTTCTCTGCCCGCCCCAGAGGAGGGGGACGCTCCACCGTCGCCCAGCCCTCACCTACCGCCGCTGGGAGTCCGAGCTCCGGCAGAAGGTGCAAGGCTGGTACTACGCTATGGGTACGGCGGAGGACCAGGGGTGGATGGCTGAGCAGCTGGGCCTATCCCATCAATTCTTCAGGACAGTCGGGGTGGTTAGTCCCCTGGAGGAGACCCCCTTCCATCTCTTACCCTTCATCCAGCGTGTGTGGCTGCTCAAAGGCCTGTGTGACAACATATACGAGACCCAGAAGGACGTGCAGGACGCTGTGCTGGGGCCAGCCCATCCACGAGTGCCGAGAGTCCATCCTGGGCTACGACGGGAACGAGAATGCCTACATACACTTTCCGCATTTCTGCGGGGCGGACCTACGTATCTACTGCCAGAGTGCCAGCATGCCCTCTGACTTCCCCTTACCAGCTGTCTGGGTGAAGAGGGTGGAGCCTGACAAAGGGCTATCAGAGGAATCTGACAAGCAGAAGGACTCTGAGCACCTGGTTTCAATGGAGGAGGAGTCTGAGGAGAAACCTAGTTCTGACAGACTGAGTGGTGGGAGGGTTAAAGAGGAGAACGGGGACAGGAGCAGGGGTGGAACTGGGCGGGGGATGGAGGATGAGGGTGATAAGGAGGACTGTAAGCCTACTAATCAGAACAGACTCATTGGCTCTACTGCACCCTCTTCACATATCAAGGACTTTGTGGGCAGAGGGAGTGTAAAGGAAGAGCCACAGGAATTGGAATATAGGCCTAATAGACTTCAGGTGAAACAGGAAGAGGGGTCGAATGTATCATCAGGGTCGTCCGCAGGGTCATGTGAGCCACGTCTCAGTGTGGGGGAACACTGCTATACAGGGAAGTCCCCTGCTCGCCCTGCTAAGGCAACCAGCAGGCCTGGTGTAGCCGTACCCATGAGACCGACTGATGTCCATGTTAAAGTGGACAGGAACAAACTCACTGAGGGACAAAGACCTTGTCCAAAATGTTTCTCCAAAATGGGGACAAAGTCGGAGGACAATCATCGCTGCCGTTGTGCCACGGACAAGAAATCAATAACGTCAGCCTCTGGTGCTGGCCACCCCCGCAAGGTGAACTTGACAGAGAATAGGATGGACAGGATTTGGGCCAAGAAAAAGAAAAGGAAGAAAGAGACGGAACTACGTGCAACAGGTGGGCAGCGCAGACCAGACAGGAGCCCACTCTGTAAGGCCAAGGCAGCTAAATCCACCCTCAGGAGAGCTGCGACCACCATCAAGAAAAAGGACAAGAGGAAAAAACGAAAAATGGGTAAGGAAAAGGAATGCCTGTCTTCTAAATCAATATTTGACATTTGTTAGGCTAAATTAGGCCTATGTAAAACCACAGCCGAGAGACTTGGCACTTGTTCAGTGATGAGATGTAGGGCTGTCCCAAACAACAACAAAAAAATCTTGGTCGACCAAGAGTCATTTGTTCTTTAGAGCAATCGATTTTTAAACGTGTATTTTTCCATAGACACATCCTGTGTTTTAATCAAATCAACTATATTCACTGAGCTTGTCTGATGCTTTAAGCACACTGTTTGATTAAATAATTAAGAAACACAAATGACTAGAGGGAGTCCGACCAGCAATTTATTTGATTGCTCAGTGTTTATCGTGTTGCTGAAGCTGCAACATAATTACAGCCATTTCTGACTGAAAAGTTTTGTTACCAAAATCCCTCATTTGTTTAGGAAAAACATTCCCTATTCCCTCAACCCTTGCTCTCTTTACGTGACACGTATGCATTGCAGGGCCTGACCTATAGCATATCATAATCACATCAATAAATTGGTTATAACGAACACCGAACACGTGACAGCAAAATGGATGCAGAGGACGTGACGAATAAACTGGAAACGGAGGAATGTTTACTGGTTTCTCAGGAGATAAAGGGGAAGTCAGATGTGTGGAATAGATGTGACTAGTTGTGGAAAATACTTTAGATCAAGAAGAAGTGTGCCAAATAGGTGCTGTTAGATTACAATATAATAAATTATAATTACAATATAATTTTCCTGACCGTTTGAAACAACGTAAACAACACTAAATAAATTATAAGCGTCTGTTTTTTTGTTAAGCTTTTATTACAGCAAAGACTAAAAACAGTCGCATTCATTTGTAAACGCAATTTCCGAAATGGAACGGTTTATTTATTGTTTAAGCTAATTAATCAATGCTCGCTTTATTTTATTTTCAAACTAATAATAATAATAATAATATGCCATTTAGCAGACGCTTTTATCCAAAGCGACTTACAGTCATACATTTTTGTGTATGGGTGGTCCCGGGGATCGAACCCACTACCTTGGCGTTACAAGCGCCGTGCTCTACCAGCTGAGCTACAGAGGACCACAAACTAAAATGCTTGATTTCATTTCAAATCATGAATGACTCGTATGCTGTGTGATGACATGAACAAATGAATGATCGATTGAAACAGTAGCCTACAGTATATAAGTAATGGAATAAAGGCCTAAGTAAGTTACGGTATTAAGACTAAACAGGATGTGCTCTTAGGCCTACAGCTCAATGGTGGTTATACAAGGTTGCTATACTAAGCCTACTAATGATAATGACTTTACTTATTATTATAATGATTATCATAATATTAATAATAATAGTAATAGTAATAATACCAATAAGGAGATCAAGGAAAAAGGAGCATAATTATTATAAATATTGTTTTTCTGACAATTTGGAATAGTGTAAACAACACTAAATAAATTATAAATAATACCAGAGAAGCTGTTCTAACGAAAAGAAAAGTATAAAGCTTTTATTACAGCACAGCAAAGATTAAAAACAGCCGAAGTTCTGAAATTGTTTACTTGACATGTCGTAGCGTGAAGGTTGGTGCTCATGGAATCAGTAGGCTATTAAACAAACACTCAAACAGGCAACAGTAGCAGGATCTGTCATATTTCTGTAGATATATATGTATGATTTTATAAAGCCAGGCACATTGAACAGTTAGGCTATTGATTATTGACCTAATTAAGGTTAGGCTATTGATTATAGACCTAATTAAGTTGGGGTTTCCTCTCTCCTCACTTTTTTTAGACAATAAGGCGAGGGCTGTTTTCTCATCTCCTCATTCTGCTGCAGCCTCCACCGCATTGTTCTCAACACCAATATGCTGGTTAACTTTGCTATTATGCACATAGCAACACGGTCTAGGAAAAGGCGCTAATTCAACAGCGCACAGATGTGTTCCAGAACTACAGACAGCGACCACTATCCAATGTGGGAGAAAGCGCATTTGTTATAGAATAATATTATTTGTATTAGTGTTGCACCGTTGTTCTTATGTAATATAACCATATATAATTTCAGTAGCACATGTCTTAGAGTGATGGACTGTGCCATCCCCACGGCCTCCACAATGGATCAGTCCACTCAGACAGGCGCCAATCAGACAGGTGTCTTGTACACCATGATATATACACTACCGTTCAAAAGTTTGGGGTCACTTACAAATGCGAAAAGCAATTTTTTTGGTCCATTCAAATAACATCAAATTGATCAGAAATACAGTGTAGACATTGTTAATGTTGTAAATAATGTGCGTACAGAGGCCCATTATCAGCAACCATCAGTCCGGTGTTCCAATGGCACGTTGTGTTTGCTAATCCAAGTTTATCATTTTAAAAGGCTAATTGATCATTAGAAAACCCTTTTGCAATTATGTTAGCACAGCTGAAAACTGTTGGGCCGTCATACCGCTCAGGAAGGAGATGCGTTCTGTCTCCTAGAGATGAACGTACTTTGGTGCGAAAAGTGCAAATCAATCCCAGAACTACAGCAAAGGACCTTGTGAAGATGCTGGAGGAAACAGGTACAAAGTATCTATATCCACAGGTACACCTCCAACTGACTCAAATGATGTCCACAGTAAAACGAGTCCTATATCGACATAACCTGAAAGGCCGCTCAGCAAGGAAGAAGCCACTGCTCCAAAACAGCCATAAAAAAGCCAGACTACAGTTTGCAACTGCACATGGGGACAAAGATCGTACTTTTTGGAGAAATGTCCTCTGGTCTGATGAAACAAAAATCGAACTGTTTGGCCATAATGACCATTGTTATGTTTGGAGGAAAAAGCGGGTCGCTTGCAAGCCGAAGAACATCATCCCAACCGTGAAGTACGGGGGTGGCAGCATCATGCTGTGGGGGTGCTTTGCTGCAGGAGGGACTAGTGCACTTCACAAAATAGATGGTATCATGTGGAAGGAAAAGTATGTGGATATATTGAAGCAACATCTCAAGACATCAGTCAGGAAGTTAAAGCTTGGTCGCAAATGGGTCTTCCAAATGGACAATGACCCCAAGCATACTTCCAAAGTTGTGGCAAAATGGCTTAAGGACAACAAAGTCAAGGTATTGGAGTGGCCATCACAAAGCCCTGACCTCAATCCTATAGAACATTTGTGGGCAGAACTGAAAAAGCTTGTGCGAGCAAGGAGGCCTACAAACCTGACTCAGTTACACCAGCTCTGTCAGGAGGAATGGGCCAAAATTCACCCAACTTATTATGGGAAGCTTATGCAAGGTGTATGTAAACTTCCAACTTCAACTGTGTGAATATATATATATATATATATATATATATATACATACACACAGTGGGGAGAACAAGTATTTGATACACTGCCGATTTTGCAGGTTTTCCTACTTACAAAGCATGTAGAGGTCTGTAATTTTTATCATAGGTACACTTCAACTGTGAGAGACGGAATCTAAAACAAACATCCAGAAAATCACATTGTATGATTTTTAAGTAATTAATTTGCATTTTATTGCATGACATAAGTATTTGATCACTTACCAACCAGTAAGAATTCTGGCTCTCACAGACATGTTAGTTTTTCTTTAAGAAGCCCTCCTGTTCTCCACTCATTACCTGTATTAACTGCACCTGTTTGAACTCGTTACCTGTATAAAATACACCTGTCCACACACTCAATCAAACAGACTCCAACCTCTCCACAATGGCCAAGACCAGAGAGCTGTGTAAGGACATCAGGGATAAAATTGTAGACCTGCACAAGACTGGGATTGGCTACAGGACAATATGCAAGCAGCTTGGTGAGAAGGCAACAACTGTTGGCACAATTATTAGAAAATGGAAGAAGTTCAAGATGACGGTCAATCATCCTCGGTCTGGGGCTCCATGCAAGATCTCACCTCGTGGGGCATCAATGATCATGAGGAAGGTGAGGGATCAGCCCAGAACTACACGGCAGGACCTGGTCAATGACCTGAAGAGAGCTGGGACCACAGTCTCAAAGAAAACCATTAGTAACACACTACGCCGTCATGGATTAAAATCCTGCAGCACACGCAAGGTCCCCCTGCTCAAGCCAGCGCATGTCCAGGCCCGTTTGAAGTTTGCCAATGACCATCTGGATGATCCAGAGGAGGAATGGAAGAAGGTCATGTGGTCTGATGAGACAAAAATAGAGCTTTTTGGTCTAAACTCCACTCGTCGTGTTTGGAGGAAGAAGAAGGATGAGTACAACCCCAAGAACACCATCCCAACCGTGAAGCATGGAGGTGGAAACATCATTCTTTGGGGATGCTTTTCTGCAAAGGGGACAGGACGACTGCACCGTATTGAGGGGAGGATGGATGGGGCCATGTATAGCAAGATCTTGGCCAACAACCTCCTTCCCTCAGTAAGAGCATTGAAGATGGGTCGTCGCTGGGTCTTCCAGCATGACAACGACCCGAAACACAGCCAGGGCAACTAAGGAGTGGCTCCGTAAGAAGCATCTCAAGGTCCTGGAGTGGCCTAGCCAGTCTCCAAACATGAACCCAATAGAAAATCTTTGGAGGGAGCTGAAAATCCATATTGCCCAGCGACAGCCCCGAAACCTGAAGGATCTGGAGAAGGTCTGTATGGAGGAGTGGGCCAAAATCCCTGCTGCAGTGTGTGCAAACCTGGTCAAGACCTACAGGAAACGTATGATCTCTTTAATTGCAAACAAAGGTTTCTGTACCAAATATTAAGTTTTCGTTTTCTGATGTATCAAATACTTATGTCATGCAATAAAATGCAAATTAATTACTTAAAAATCATACAATGTGATTTTCTGGATTTTTGTTTTGGATTCCGTCTCTCACAGTTGAAGTGTACCTATGATAAAAATTACAGACCTCTACATGCTTTGTAAGTAGGAAAACCTGCAAAATCGGCAGTGTATCAAATACCTGTTCTCCCCACTGTGTGTGTGTATGTATATATATATATATATATATATATATATATATATATATTGCAACTGCTCGACTAAAGAAATCTCGGTCGACTAAACGGGGTCAGCCCTAATGAGATGTAATCTTATCTATAATGCTTTGCCCCCACTTATGTCTGAATTACTCTATAGAATAATCTTCTTCCTTCACAGGAAAAAAGCTTGAGTCCAGGAAACCACAACTCTCAGTTCAACCTGCATTCAGGGTAAACCCCACAGTTTGTTTGTTTGTTTGTTTTTGATGCAAAATATGGAATATTAATTGATATATCAATTTGAATCCATGTGTGCTGATTCGTCGCTCTCTCTCACTCTTCAGTTGGTGTGCACCAGTCTAGAGGAGCTGAGGGAACTCATCAGCAGGACAGAGGATGAGCTGGATGAGCTGGAGAGCACCAAAAAGACATCTGTTAGTAAAGTAATAAATACATTTTTATTTTTATTTTTGGCTTTTGATTGTGCTGTATCAAAAATACATTTATGAACAGAAATAACTATTACATACAGTATGGAAGGATTACATCGATACAGGTTCAAAAAATGATGATGGCAGGAACACATACAGTGGGGGGGAAAAAAGTATTTAGTCAGCCACCAATTGTGCAAGTTCTCCCACTTAAAAAGATGAGAGAGGCCTGTAATTTTCATCATAGGTACACGTCAACTATGACAGACAAATTGAGAAAAAAACATTGTAGGATTTTTAATGAATTTATTTGCAAATTATGGTGGAAAATAAGTATTTGGTCACCTACAAACAAGCAAGATTTCTGGCTCTCACAGACCTGTAACTTCTTCTTTAAGAGGCTCCTCTGTCCTCCACTCGTTACCTGTATTAATGGCACCTGTTTGAACTTGTTATCAGTATAAAAGACACCTGTCCACAACCTCAAACAGTCACACTCCAAACTCCACTATGGCCAAGACCAAAGAGCTGTCAAAGGACACCAGAAACAAAATTGTAGACCTGCACCAGGCTGGGAAGACTGAATCTGCAATAGGTAAGCAGCTTGGTTTGAATAAATCAACTGTGGGAGCAATTATTAGGAAATGGAAGACATACAAGACCACTGATAATCTCCCTCAATCTGGGGCTCCACGCAAGATCTCACCCCGTGGGGTCAAAATGATCACAAGAACGGTGAGCAAAAATCCCAGAACCACACGGGGGGACCTAGTGAATGACCTGCAGAGAGCTGGGACCAAAGTAACAAAGCCTACCATCAGTAACACACTACGCCGCCAGGGACTCAAATCCTGCAGTGCCAGACGTGTCCCCCTGCTTAAGCCAGTACATGTCCAGGCCCGTCTGAAGTTTGCTAGAGTGCATTTGGATGATCCAGAAGAGGATTGGGAGAATGTCATATGGTCAGATGAAACCAAAATAGAACTTTTTGGTAAAAACTCAACTCGTCGTGTTTGGAGGACAAAGAATGCTGAGTTGCATCCAAAGAACACCATACCTACTGTGAAGCATGGGGGTGGAAACATCATGCTTTGGGGCTGTTTTTCTGCAAAGGGACCAGGACGACTGATCCGTGTAAAGGAAAGAATGAATGGGGCCATGTATCGTGAGATTTTGAGTGAAAACCTCCTTCCATCAGCAAGGGCATTGAAGATGAAACGTGGCTGGGTCTTTCAGCATGACAATGATCCCAAACACACCGCCCGGGCAACGAAGGAGTGGCTTCGGAAGAAGCATTTCAAGGTCCTGGAGTGGCCTAGCCAGTCTCCAGATCTCAACCCCATAGAAAATCTTTGGAGGGAGTTGAAAGTCCGTGTTGCCCAGCGAAAGCCCCAAAACATCACTGCTCTAGAGGAGATCTGCATGGAGGAATGGGCCAAAATACCAGCAACAGTGTGTGAAAACCTTGTGAAGACTTACAGAAAACGTTTGACCTGTGTCATTGCCAACAAAGGGTATATAACAAAGTATTGAGAAACGTTTGTTATTGACCAAATACTTATTTTCCACCATAATTTGAAAATAAATTCATTAAAAATCCTACAATGTGATTTTCTGGATTTTCTTTTCTCATTTTGTCTGTCATAGTTGACGTGTACCTATGATGAAAATTACAGGCCTCTCTCATCTTTTTAAGTGGGAGAACTTGCACAATTGGTGGCTGACTAAATAATTTTTTTCCCCACTGTATATGGATTGTCTACTATGAGAGGGAGAATACGAAATACAGTGGTAAATGCTCTCAACCATCGGGCTTGTTTATTCTTGACGTTTTGTTGGTTTTACAGGGAAGGTGGTGCTTCAGGAGAGAAGCCGTGAAAGATCTGCACATCACTCTCATAAGGCTACTCAACGAGCTCTCCCCATGGGAACCCAAACTGGTCAAGGCTTTCCATAGGAACAGGTATCAACACTCGTCCTGAAGGCAGTTATAAAATCATAAAGCTATGTTTACAAAACATGTCTAGCATAACACATCACTGACTCCTCAGGTGCCTTTTTTAACGTAATCTGTCCCCACAGGCTACGTTTGAAAAAGGATTATGACGACTTCAAAAAGCACCCTGACTATGACAACTTTGTCAGAGAGGAATGGGTGGCAGAGGATGTGGACAGAAGCACCTCGTTCACTGAAAACACCAGACTGACTGAAGAGGAGGAACAGCAACAGCAGGATCAGACAGTTCAGAGGATCCTGTGGGCGGGAGGTAAATTGTGTTTTATTTGTGTGTGCTGTACAATAAGACATTATGGAAAAGCATATATTGTGTAGGCTCTTTGTTATAAATTGCATTGAAATCATTGTTGTCAGGGCAGATTGAAATACATTGAATGTGTCTCTTTGTTTTCAGAGGACTCTGGGCAGTTTGGAACGGAGGCATTGAGAGGCAGCTTCACCGTGGTAACCAGACAAGAGATGTTGACCTTGAACGAGCACAGGCCTTCCACTCGGGGCTTGAAGCGCCTGCAGAGTGATTTAGACGAGAACCCAAGCCTTATTAAGAGAGGCAGGATCGGCAGTGACGAGCTGACGACTTCCCCTGAAGCTGAAGTGGAAAACAGATCCAGGGAAACGAATCCAGCAGCACAGACGGTTGGAGAAACAAGCCCAGTGGTTATAACTACTCCGATGGCTGGTGTCCAAAGGACCCACAAGCCCATTCAGCTACATACCCTGCTGGCTAAGAGTGTTGGCAATAAAGTGACTTTAATTCATCATCAGCCAGGTGTTATCAGCCATGTTGGTCATGCACAAAGCATAGCCTGTTCTTCTTCCCTGCATGCTACTAAATTTAAACATTCTTTACCACAAAGCTCTCTACAGTTACCGCAACCAACAACAACACCTCAACACACACAGATGTCCCATACCACGCCCATACCAAAGACCCCCGTACAGGTTGTCTACAAGATGCCCGAGGGCATGGGTCTGGTCAGGAAAGCTGGAAGCCCTGTGAAAATCGCAGTGCAGCCAATCCTGGACCAGATAACGGGGGATAAGCAGCAAGTGGTCATCCTTCCTTCGAACTTGCTCATTCAAAAGTCAGAGGGTCAGCGTCACCCCCAGCAACCAAGGACAATCCAGGTCCCAGCCTCCAAAGCACCCACTCCACTACCACACAGCTCTGGATTCACCATGCCTCAAAGTCATGACAACCGGATCCCCATACAACAAGTGGCACCGCTAAAGGGAGGTACAGCCTCTCCAACCTACTCCCCGAGGTTGCAGACAACCTCTCTAACAACAGGCTACAAGGTTGTCCAAATCCCTGGTCCGAAAGTGAGTAGCACTACCCAAAATGTTAGACCAAATAGATCACCATCCAACCCTACCAGTCCAGCTTTTACTGATCCCAGAAAACCTCCTGACCCTAAACAAGAGCTGAAGACTGTGTGTATAAGGGACTCGCAGTCCATCCTAGTCACCACTAGGGGGGGCAACACTGGAGTGGTCAAGGTGCAGACGTCTGACCAAAGTACATCTGGTTCGTTACCCACCAGTCCGGTCATCACCATCTCTCCACAGTTCAAAGCCTTCCTGGTGTCCAAGACCTCTCCACCTGCTGCCTCCACAGTCCCAGTGGTCACAAGCTTGACTGTAGCCCAGGCGCAATCAGGACCGTCACCATTACGGTCTTCAACTGTCACAAGTTCAACAACTGCACACCAGTCTTCGATCACTGCCGGAATTCCAATGGCCACAGATCAGACAGCGGGCTCTGCTGTTACCGTTGCTGTAAACCAGGGCTGCAACGTCTCATCTACAGTTGCTGTGAACTCACAACTACCTAAAAGCATGGTCACTGAACCTGGTAACTCAGCAGGCGCCACCCAGACGTCTCTGGTCCAGTGTGTCACTAAACCTGTTCTGAAAAGGGTAGATCCGGATGAGAGGTCCCCATACACTAAGTTCATCCTGGTCTCTCCCTCGTCCAACATCACATCTATGGCCGCAACCAAAGTCACTTCCACCACAGCTCCCTCCGCTCTTCCAGGGCAAAGGTTGATGTTCATCAGCCAATCACCAGCCCAGGCATCCCACGCAACAAGTAGCATTCCAAAACAGATTGTAGTGTCATCAGTGTCTGGGGCACAACCTCTGACCACGTCAATACCCAATGAAGCAATGAAGATCGGACTCAACTTTGGTCAATCTATCAGCAGTGCTAACTTTGGAGCCTTGAATAAGGTCCAGCGCATCAATCTGCTTCCAGGATCTCCAATAAGGCTACCACAGCAGGCAAGTACACTTGCACAATCTACTTTAAAAAGCACATCTGTGTCTGGCTCACAGGCAGACCTTCTCGCAACCACGTTGTCTCACATTGTCACTAGCACTGCACATTTGCCCTCTTCCACGCGGCTGACTGGATCTCAACTACAAGGCATCCCTTCAACCTCTGTGATCCCCAATCTAAGTAAGGTAACCGGGCAACCACGGTCTTCGATAATCCAAGGTTTAATTACCAGCAACCCACAACTACCAGTGCCGGTCACTACACCGCTAAGCCCTGTCAAAACATCCCCTCTCACATCACCGGCCCAGGTTTCTCAGTCTCACAACTGTCTCTGTGTCAGCGGGGTCACCACACATGCTCAAATGATAAGTACTCCACAGTCTCCAATTGCCCCTAGATCCACTCAGCAGTCCACTCCAGTGCGGCCGGCTGATAATACCAATCCTGTCACCAGCACCACCACCACCACTGTGCAACAGAAGATTGTCATCAACACCACTGCTCCACTTGCAGGCGGCTCTCAGATTCTGCTCAACAACACCCGTTTTGTTGTTCCTCCTCAAGGCCTTGGGCCTGGCCAGCATGTCCTCATAATCTCCAGCCCTGCAGTGCCTGTGGTAGCTCCTAGTCCCAGGGGAGCGAGCCCAACCACTGGTGTCCCACGAGTGCCAACGTTACCTGGGCTAGCCACACCTGCACAAGGCCCCAGAATGGCCACACCACCAGGGACACACCAGCCTCAACAAGCAGCACTTAGATCACTAACCCTGGCAGCGCCGTCCGCTGCGAAAGTTGGACCCTCTCTCCCTGTCTCTCTCACTGTCCCTCGCCAGGTGATGAAGATTCGAGCTCCACTATCGGCCACCAGCACCACCACCAACGGTTATCCACAAGTTTCACATTGGCTCCCTGCTCCGGCCACCATACTCACTGGCCTAGCTGATGTGGTGGCCGCTCCGCCTTTAACTGAACCGGAAGGGATGGGTGGCCTGTCACTCTCCTCCGTACAAGGAAGTCCCAGCGCAGCTCAAACAGCAGGAGTTCCACAGAGCCCAACAAAGCAGCTCCCTTTGAACACGGGACTTGGCATCAACTACGCACCACTCACAACACAGCAACTAACGTCATTCGTGCAACCTATGGGAGCGCTCTCCACCCGGACGCAGGTCCTGCCAACGATTGCTGTTCCGCCGATCGGGAGCACCTTCTCCAGGATGCAGTCTCTACCTGTGGTGACCGTACCGCCCCTTGGGGGTGCCTCCGGTAGCAGAACGTCTCCTGTGGCAACTGTGCCTCCATCCAACAGCACTGTGAACATGACACCTGCTCAACCTATCAGGACGGTGATGTCGGCAGAGACTATCCGCATGCCCATTGTTTTATCCAATCCTCGGCAGCAGCAGATACTGGGCCTAGGCAAACGCCCTTTGCAGCCTTTACAGGTGCCTGCATCAGCAGTGCAAACAACCAGCCCCACCACCAATATACTAGTGAGTCCTGATTGTGCTGTTTTAAACACTGTTAGAGGCCCTACCGCCAACACAGGCCTGCCAGAGGTGGCTAACGAGCCTTTGGCTACGTTGATTGTAACTCCGAAATCCACTTGGAGAGTGCTGCCCCTGCCTCCTGTAAATACTGACAATCCCTCAATGCCTACCCAGGCTGACAGAAGTGGACCTATCGACTGAAAGACTGAGACTGAAATCTAGTACCATTGTCTGTGATGTGGCCCCGTGTAGCTCAGTTGGTAGAGCATGGCGCTTGCAACGCCAGGGTTGTGGGTTCGTTTCCCACGGGGGGCCAGTATGAAAAAATGTATGCACTCACTAACTGTAAGTCGCTCTGGATAAGAGCGTCTGCTAAATGACTAAAATGTAAATGTAATGAAGCAGACACATATTCCAGCAAACTTTTGTGTTCTGGACTGCATCTAGAACATTCTAGTATGTTTTTGGTAGAAGGCGGGAGTTGGTTGAGAAACTGCCTGGTTGAGCTGTATTTTTACTTTGCATATCTGAGTGTGTTTAAAGATGCACTATGCAGAAATCGCTCCGCCATTTCCTGGTTGGTAAATTCTAATAGTTCCCCTAATTTCAGTTTGTGGCAAAACAAGCAAGTATAGTGTAGACTAGAGGATCATCGTACCATCTAAACTGCTGTAAAATATTTTTTCCAGAACCAAAAATATTGTATTATCAGCTGTTTTTGAAGCTGGTGTACAAAACCGAAAGTAAAAGACGCAAAAACAAACTTAACAACGGGAAGCATAGAAATAGCACACATAGAACAGATCTACCGCTTCTTAGACTTGCTTTCAATAAGAATGACAGATCTATAACACACTTTTCTATGTGAATTTGGTCAGGTCGCCCAAAAAGTTACATATTGCAGCTTTAAGCGATGCTAGATAAACTCTATAGTTGACAGATTGCTCAAGAAATTGTTCTATTTCTTAAAGCAAACAGCGTTTTAGGGTTTCCTTCTCACAGAGTTTGAAGGTAAATTTGGACATTTTGTTTTTTGCTAAAGCTTTTCTAGGCCAGTAATAAATATGTTGTAAATTGCTAGGTTTGAAGGATAGACAAATGGATTTTAATGTGATTGTAATACATTTAATTGACATTTAATGATCATTTTGAAATGATATCCATTTAATTCCTTAGATTGGTACAACACTTGTTTTATTCTGTCTACCACACTCTTAGGACTTTCCCTCTGACCTGTTGCACACGCTCTTCCGATGTATTGCCTACTCAAGAGGCATATCAGTGTCCAAATGTTATTACATTGGTTCTCTCTTATTTCCACTATCAACTATTTGGAAAATAAACTGGCATTTCACACGATTGAAATGCAACTTCTGAATGATTTATTGAAATGATGAAGCCCATATTCTTCTTTTTTTTTTTGACATTACATTTATTTATTTTTCCTACCATATAGATTTTTCAAAATATTTAGTGGGCACATTTTCATTGGATAACTGTGGACAATTCTGCTTGGAAATAAACGGTGAAACTGTCCTCCCATAGGGGTTTTGTGGTGTTAATTTCAATTAGACCCTTGGTAAACTGTCTCTATTGAAATGTGTCTGTAGAATTGTATAGGGGATAACCATTCCATCATTTTAAAATCCTTTCATAAGTACATAAGCCAACGATCAAGCCGATGTTATTGTCTTTTAACTTACTATGGATTCTCAATTGCAGCTACACATTTGTTTATGTTGGTTATCTCAAATGAACAAGCAATTTCCTAAGTACATGGAGTATTTATTTGTTGACAACTTTGAGGTAATCTATGACCCTACTGTTGTTCGAGTATTGATAGAAGGGTCTTGTTCTCTGAGCAGCCTTCATAAATATAGCCTGAGGAACACCATAACACACACAACTAGAGTTTTGAGAAATACACACAAAAATACAAGATAGAAAAAAACATTACTAAAAGATGCCAAATCCTGTCATTGTAAATATAGAGTGCAAATAGTAGCTTCATCATCGAAAGCTTTTTTCGTAATTGATGTAGTGTTTAAATAACACAACACAGGAAGTTCATAGTTTCATATTTTTTGGTTATCCACAGAGGACTGTTGTTATTAGGGTGAGGAGGTAGAGGTCCTGATGATATCGTCTCATAAGCAGGAGGGGCATTGGGAACCTGAAACACATCAAGTCAAACACACACCATTTAGGAAACAGGCAGAATAGCCACTCATTGATAATTGAAATACTATTTCCCTTTTCACATTATTGTGCCAAACCGAACCAAACTGAGCTTGCTTACTTTATTACATTTAGTTTTACATTTGACATTTTAGTCATTTTGCAGACGCTCTTATCCAGAGCGACTTAGTTTTTATTGAGTGCATACATTTTTCATACTTTTACAGTGCACAGTAGTCAACATTACTGTAATCATCATCAATCATGGTTGTGTTGCTGTCTGTATAGTCAGAGGAATGCAGTATCCTATGATAAGAGAACGATCGTGGCCTGGGGTTGGTTACACCATTGCCTTCCAGCGCATAACTGCCCATGTCTGCATCATGGGATCGAATCCTGGTTCCACCACTACTTTGGCATAAACAAACTCTCTCCTCACTTCTCTGTCTAAGTTTGTATAGAGATTTAAACCGTAAGAAAACACCTCTATTCAATAAAACATATCAAATACTCTGAAAAAAGAGAGCTCTGGGACCATATTCATAGGGTACCTCAAGAGGAATGCTGATCTGGGATAAGGGCCCCCCTGCCCATGTAGTCTTATTCAGTATGATCTACTAGGCAAAAACCGATCCTAGAGCAGCAGTCCTAATCTGAGATGCTTTATTAATACGGGCCCTGACCACCGTTGCCCCCCCCCCCCCCCCACCCCAGTACATCCAGTGTCTTACCAAAGGTCGGAGGTCACTGACGCCCATCTTGTTTTCTGCTGCGGCTCCTCCCTCGCTGAACTGTCCTCCGCTGAATCCTGGCGGGGACCCTGATCTTGGGATCTGTGGGGAGAATAACATGAGAGGTAGAGAAAACACAACAGGGACATTAATAAGGGGAACAGGAGGTAGAAGCCCTGTCGAAACCGATGAGCAAAACACATTAAAACATTGTATTTTTTTGGGTTGAAAAGAGGTTAAAAATCAATATTTTCAACGTCTTGTGTTCACTGGGAAAGCAACCCATACATATGCTTATCTTCTTGAGTTTTCAGATCTGTTCTGAAGGAACCAGTGTGGTGGAAGCTCCCCTAAACCCATCGCCAAGTTGATGTACATCACAATGCAGCTATCCCTCTTTGTTTCCTTTATCTTAACTGAACCATAGACATATAATCATCGGAAATAACTGGCCAGGTGAAAGCCTAGGCCTATTCTCTTCAGATCACCACAGATTAAGGAAAGTAGAGAGGAAGCCATTTATTAAGACTATTGAAATATGCACCCTTGGCCATGCAAGTGTGACTATAACCAGAGTGACTATAACGGCCGTACAGCGCTGCACATTGCAGTCAAGCTGAGGGAGAGGACCATGGTGTCCAGGCTGCTGGATTACGGAGCCACCCCTCTGGAGCGTGACGTCTGGGGTTGGACTGCTGTGGACGAGGCCCAGAACAACAACCTACCCAGCATCCTGAAGCTGTTCCACCCCTTCACTTAGCAGTTCCTCAACAAACAGGTCTACCTGCTGCACCTGGCCAACAGGATCGTCCCAGCCACTTCCTGTCTCTACTAATCTCTCACATCAAATTCACTTTAAGTACACACACCTCAGGAACTTCACCCTTTTTATCCAGCCAACAACCCTGGACATTAGTATGAAAAATGTACGCACTCACTAACTGTAAGTCGCTCTGGATAAGAGCGTCTGCTAAATGACTAAAATGTAAATGTAAGTGCTGGACTAATCATCCCCTAATCATTTTGTACCCGCTTCCCCTCCTAAAATACCAGCATCCAAGGATGAGAAGGGCTGTATGAAGATCAACTGAGCTATGCCTGCTGCCCTGTGGCGCACAAAGAAAAGAAAACACTGAGTGAATAATACTTCCTTCACCAAATGATCAATTAAGATTGAATGTAGCCTAACAAAAAACAAAAGCTTTAAAAAAATCGAATAAAGTTTTCTACATTTCAATTAGGCCTGCCTATAAAAGGTCAACCGATTAAGTGATATTGTAGTTATTTTATTCTACAAAATAATCATTATAATCAGAAAACATAGTGAAAAATAAAAATAATAATCGACTAACTCTTCGGCCCTGACATGGGGTCCTCTAGATTGCAAAATAAACATTGAAGTCACTGTGAGGCATCTCTTTGAACCATCCATTAACTTCAACACCTGAGGAACATGAGGCAAATGCCGTTGGGCTATAAACTGTAGGATATGGTTATTACATGTTAATAGCAACATCAATTACAGACTGTGATCCATTGGTCAAGTATGAGACTGGTAGATTCAGCATTTGTCCCTAAAATGTGCACGTTTATTTCACACTCCATTTCAAAGCAATTTCTAACACATCAGAAGAGATAATTGATGTGATTTCTAACCCTAACCCTATACTGTATGTATATATACACTGTAGTGTTATTACTTTGCAGTAATGCAATTAATACAATAAACTACATTGATTTGAAAAGTGATCAATATCTTATTCCATCAAGCATAATATAGGTCATAGGCTATGTAAATCCAGAGACAATTGATCATTTAGAAAATGTCATAATTGTATACCTTTTTTATAAAATCCTTAAAGAATAACTGAATGGCCCTGTCCATCAAGGCAGTCAGTGTTTGGTCTGCGTTTCTATAAAAAAGATGCATCATCTTACCTACAGTGGATAATTAGATTGTGAAAGGGTCCGGTGCCAAAATATGCTTTATAAATAAAAGAGCGAGCGCAAAAAGAAATCCATATTAAAACACAAAGTAGGTTTTCTCCTCCATGTCTTGTTGTGTGCTCATTGCTTTGTCATGCTAATCTATGATAATTCCTGTGAATAAGATAACATGTTTTATTGCATTGTGGTGGAAACGCAGTATGATGTTCTTGATAGTGTAATAATATCCTTTTCATTTGTTGCCTGTTTTGGACAGTAGGCCTACTGTAGATGATCTTGCAGTATCAATAAATGGTCTGTAGGGTGCACAATATGACTACCTTCTGCCTTACAGTCAGTTCACATACTGTAGATCTACAGGTAACTGCCAAAATAAAGGAAACGCTTGAGTAAATGAGGGATACAGAGTATATTGAAAGCAGGTGCTTCCACACAGGTGTGGTTCCTGAGTTAATTAAGCAATTAACATCTCATCATGTTTAGGGTCATGTATACAAATGCCCAGTTGGCCATTATTTTGGCTACCATGGCTAGAAGAAGAGATCTCAGTGACTTTGAAAGAAGGGTCTCAAAGGGGCATGGGGGTTTAAAGGGGGTGTGTGTTTTAGCGCGCAGATCTCAACTCAATTGAAGACTTATGGGAGATTCTGGAGCGGCGCCTGAGACAGCGTTTTCCACCACCATCAACAAAACACTAAATTATGGAATTTCTTGTGGAAGAATGATGTCGGATCCCTCCAATAGTTTTCTAGACACTTGTAGAATCTATGCCAAGGTGCATTGAAGCTGTTGGTGTTTCCTTTATTTTGGTAGTTTCCTGTATATTAGTGAAATTAAATAGTAAACCATTGCAATTAGCACAATCAAAAACATATATAATTACAAATAAAAAAGAACGTAACCAGCTACTGTAAGTCGCTCTGGATAAGAGCGTCTGCTAAAAAAAGACTAAATGACTAAGTTTAATGCAACAAAAAAAAAAAGATAAAATGAGGTAGGAAAGTTTAAACATTTCAACCTATCCCAAAGGCCGGCAGATGGCGATATTGAGTCATTTCATCTTACCGTCCAAAGGTCGATGTATGCAGCCGGCTATACGCACGTATCCTTCGTGAACTGATTCATACATAAAACATTAATTCTCCATTCAGGCTGTAAAGCCGTCGATTTCCTCCTTAACGCGATTTCTTAATTTATTGGCGAGAAGGTGGAAGAAAGGTTTTTACTCCTCGCTATTAAATAGAGTTAAAGAGGAAATCGACGCCTTTGCAGCCGGAATGGACAATGTTTTTTAATACGAACCGTCCATAGGGGATACGAGTGTATAGAGTACCACAGTATGAGTCATAAAACCCATAAAAACCTAGCGGTCAAACAAGGAAATGGTTCCAATTGTTTTTCCACCATTCATTTTTCCCATAGGGGATTTTAGAAACACTTAAAATAAGGGCTGTGTTTCATGTTGGCTTACCCTAGCGTGACGTTTTGATAACCGTGTAAATCTCTCTAGGACAAGGTGACTTTTATCAATATATTAGTCTGTAATTCCCCCCCAAAAAAATTAAATGCTAATTAGCTGCTAATGTGGCTATCATAAAGAACTACAAATGCCATGATGATCTGGACGAGACTGCCAAATCGAGGCAAAGGTAAGAATCTCTGGATTAACTATCTAATGTTAGCCAAATTTAGTAATGAGTGAATTGGCAACATTTCTTTAAATTTACAATTCTGTGAACTGTCTTCTGCAAGTTTTAAATTGAACCAATACCTGTTAGCAAAGGTGTCAGCTAGATATGACGTGCAGGAGCTTGCAGGGATTTGTAGTCTTGCATGATGTCTACTTTGATGCTAATTAGCATTTTCGAATCTGAGAGTAAATAGAGCCGAATATATTGATAAATGTCACCTTGTCCAAGAGAGATTTACAGTGGTGTGAAAAAGTGTTTGCCCCCTTCCTGATTTGTTATTTGTTTGCATGTTTGTCACACTTAAATGTTTCAGATCAAACACATTTAAATATTAGTCAAAGATAACACAAATAAACACAAAATGCAGTTTTGAAATTAAGGTTGTTATTATTAAGGGAAAACCAAATCTACATGGCCCTGTGTGAAAAAGTGTTTGTCCCCCCCCCCTTATAACACAACTCAACTGTGGTTTATCACACCTGAGTTCAATTCCTCTAGCCACACCCAGGCCTGATTACTGCCACACCTGTTCTCAATCAAGGAATCACTTAAATAGTACCTGCCTGACACAGTGAAGTAGACCAAAAGATCCTCAAAAGCTAGACATCATGCCCAGATCCAAAGAAATTCAGGAACAAATGAGAAAGAAAGTAATTGAGATCGATCAGTCTGGGAAAGGTTATAAAGCCATTTATAAAGCTTTGGGACTCTAGCGAACCACAGTGAGAGCCATTATCCACAAATGGCGAAAACATGGAACAGTGGTGAACCTTCCCAGGAGTGGCCGGCAGACCAAAATTACCCCAAGAGCGCAGCGATGACTCATCCAAGAGGTCAAAGACCCCACAACATCCAAAGAGCTGCAGGCCTCACTTGCCTCAGTTAAGGTCAGTGGGCCTCATTCACCAATATCTACCTAAGAATGTTCTAAATGTTGTTCTTAATAAACTCACTAAGAAAAGTCTACTTCGGATTCATGACATGTTCTTAAACAACAAATGTTCGCACCTGTGTTTAGGCTTGATTAATCCTATGTCTTAATTGAAAGCGTGTGCCAGTTGTTCCTAATTAGCATAAGAAAACGCCCCGCAAATTCCCATATAAGGACATGACACTTCAGGGCCGTGTACAAGAAAAGTTGGAGAATGTCCGAAAGACTGTGGTGGTCCACCGATCACATTTACATTTACACTTTAGTCATTTAGCAGACGCTCTTATCCAGAGCGACTTACAGTTAGTGCATACATTATTTTATCGAACCCACAACCCTGGCGTTGCAAACGCCATGCTCTACCAACTGAGCTACATCGATCACCAAACGAAAAAGGAACTTCAGTAATTCTGAAATATAAATTCTACTGCAACAGGTAAATGCCAAACGGGGCATAATATTTAGTGTTTCCAGTGGTTTTAAAGCCATCAACAAAACGGAGGCATGGAAGGAGAACGTCGCTCAATTGAAGATGTAAAAAAAGAAATGGTTTGACTTAAAATCAGAGACCAAAAAAATCCATTGCCAAACATAAGAGACATGCTGACCACTGGAGGGGGGCATGCAGGCCCTGAGTTATCTGAGATTGACCAGCGCATCGGGGCCATTATTGGAGACGGCACTTTCAGGTGTGCCATCAGCGGAGCAACTGGACACTGACCAGGGCCCTATATCAATAGCTTCATATCTTCCAAGGCCATCTCCCACCAGTGAATCAGACGGTAAGCAAGTATTTCTGAATTTATACAATTTAATGCCATAATTTAACTGAAAGCAACGGTGAAACCATTGGAAAGGAATTTTACACCAGTTTGTCAAACCAAATGTGGGCCTATGTGACTGAAGAGTCCTCACCTGAATTCCTAGTTTATTCAGTTTGAAATCCTATTGCTTTTGCAGTAGGCCTATATTGAACAAACTGAAACATCAAAAAAATCAGTGCACTGTGACTGTTTTTTACTTTCAGTATCGTTTTATTTACAGATCTCCAATCCAGGCAACCCCTCTGAAGAGGAACCTGACACCATTCGGCCTTCCTGCAGTAGGCCTGCCTCTGTACGTGCCCCCAGGTCCGGTCCAACTGCACGTGTCATCTCCGATGCGGTCTTGGCTAACCAGGAGAGGATTGCG